CTGGATAATGCTAGTGGTTGCCAGTTAGGCCCGTGGCCAAAGCTGCTACCTGGACAAACTAAGGAAACCTGGCTTCTCTGATTCCTATCACAAACACTTCCACCTACTGCTGAGACACACGGAGAAAAGACAGCTCTCCAAGCCCAGGGCATCCCTCTTTCACAGACCTCCAAAGTCTGCTGTGCTGAATTCACCTCCTGATTGAACTTCCACCCCATTTGCACTCTTCATTCATTTCTGTGAGTTTGCCTTTTTTTATTTGCCTCTTTAAACACAGACAGCCTGGGTTTATTTGCTCAAAAGGACATTTTATTTTGTCTTTTCATCCAAACAACTACTGTCTGTAAAATTCCCAACAGACTCCTCCCACAGACAAAGAACCAGCCAAGTGTAATGCCAAAGGTAAAGGTACACTATTGAAAAATCACCAACACAAGAAAAAACATGCAAAGCAAATCAACATGTTCCGCAATGAAAATCCATGTTATCCTAGCAAACACAGTGAGACTACTCAAATGGCCACTGGGTACCTGCAGCCTGATAGCCTAAACACCCACTTTTCTAATGCACTGCTGAAGATATGTACTGCTTAAAATTCAGCGATGCACGTGACAGCCTTTAGCCCTTCTCTCAGCCCACATGGATGGGTATTACTCAGCTGTTCATGAAGCTTGCTAGTTCTTCCAGATGTTCAAGCTGGTCTAAGAAAAGATACATTACTACTATTATTTTGGAAAGGGTGTTACAGCAAACATACATCCAGATGGAGCCAGGATACTCTCTGCCCACCTTAGCCTTATTCATGGAAGCCAAAGTGACAACAGCCCCATTAGATGTGATGATGCTCTGGGAAGACACCCCCTACTCTGTTTAATGCAACATGGTGAATGTACTTGGTGTTGGACATAGTGTTGGTACAGGCGGGCAGTGACCCATCTCAGCAGATGACCCAGTGTGTGGGTCTCATACTGAGCAGCACTAACTGGAGAGTCAGGCCCAGCATCCCCTTAGCACTGCTCCCCTACCCAGCCAGCCTGTATTCATCCTCTGCATTGCATCCTGATAGGAAATCCTGGGACATAGAAAAGGCATCATTTTCCCTTAGCATTTGCAGCTATCAAACACTAGTTTATATTCTGCAGAGAAAGCCGTTTTTCTTCTGCTTGCAGAGGCGCCTCCCTTACATAGGCAGACACACACTGGAAGAGAAAGAGGGAGAGCAGGAGGGAGCCGCACTGTGTCTATTGAGACGATAACAACAGATTTGGGGCAGAACCTGCCTCATGCTGTCAGCTAGCACTGGGCCCTTTCAGTGCACTCGGACCCAAACACTAACTGGGAGATTTTAGCATTTTTGCGTAGTAATAGAAGCAAGAAAAATAACTACCATAAATAATGGCTGTGTGTATCTAACATCATACACTTGCTCTCCTTTTTTTCTCCAATTCCTGAACTAATAAAAATAGCTAACAAGAATGACAGTGTTACAGCACACGGAAAGGAAGGCATTTCACGAAGTGAGTCTCAAGATGAACAGGAAGCTGCTGGTCAGCAATGTGGAGCTCCTGAACAGCAGAGCCAGAATTAACCTCTGCCCTTGCTACTGATCAGTGTCTAGTATCAGTCCTGATGGATTTTGGACTCATGCTTCCCCAAAGGTTGAAACCTGGTGTGTAAATAATTAAACTTTCTCTACACATTGCCAAGATATGAAGAAGAAAGGCTATTGCTATTCACGGTTCAGTGTAACTGTACATGATCTTGGCCCTCCTTCCATGTTCCGAAATTACTGAAATTACAGCCAAAGCCATCAGGACGGCACAACGAGGAATCACTTACTCAGCTAAGTTGATACTGGACAAAATAACAGCTCTGAGCCAGCCACTGGGAGATAACACGTACAGCTTGCAGCACAGAAAAAACATTCTTCAAGGCCAAGGTTACCAAGTGGCTATTGAAATAGGGTTATGTTTATAGCCAACCACATCACCAATAGACAACAAACCTGCTGAAGAATAAACGGCAGACAGGACACAAAGTTGACTATCAGAGAATATAAACACACATGATTACAACGCCCATTTTTGAAGATTTATATTTTAAATACAGACCTATATTAAGATTTTCAATAGAATTTTGATTTTGCTGCATTATCACAGGCATTGACTCTTTGTTATTTTTAATAAAAACTGACTAAGGCAACATAGAACAAACTTGAATTGTTCAAGGCTGAACTGAATGACAATAAAGCATTCCTGTGATAAGGAAACGCACCCTAAGGTCCACTGTGGAAAACTTCCTATTCTCAGGCATGAAACCACTTCCAAAACCTGACTTACTAATGCCATTTAAAATGTCTTAACTACAAAATTATATATAAAACCTGCTTAGTTTCTACCAGTGAAATGCAAAGCACACAAGTGATCTGTATTTTGAAGGTCACACAAGCAATGTGAACTATGAACTTCAGGATTCATGAAAATATGACATTTTAAAGTGGGAGGAAAGTATTTTTCTATCTTGTCCAAGCCACAAAATACTAAAATGAACAAACTATAAATATTAAGATTCCGTAAAAAATATTTGGGATCCAACATTTAATATTAATGAATTGTTCTGGTGAGAAAAAAAATCAATAACTAGGCACCGGGAAGACAATAATCCACAATTTTAGTCTGTTTTGTATAATCCAGGAGATTATCACATGCCTTCATCTGGATGGGACCTGCTTTTTGCAGAAGGAACACTATCTTAAAAGGTAACTTAACTCTTTAACTTAATGATGTCAATTTATAGACTGTAAAATAAAAAAAGAAATCCTTCTTTATGCTACTAATCATAACTGTTATTCATTATGTCATTATTCAATATGTCAAATAGCACCAAATCCAGGGTCTCATTTCCCTTTTGCTGCTCAATAAAGTGCTGTTGGCAGCAGTCTGCTTTAACACTCGTAATTTATTAACCTCATAGGTGTTGTAGCATGGAACTAAAGCCATAGACAGGAGGCACTTAGCAAGTTATACACGCTGCATATTTTCACAGCAAAGGAGTTCCTGCTGTGCTTTTCTTGCCTCCCACATTTTTATGATTTTTTTCCCTTCATGGTAACTGCCAAGCCTCACATATTTTGGAGATACTTCCTTATTTTGCCCAAACCCTCTTTCTCATGTTTTAAAAAGTGTTGCTGTGTATTTACCAAGGAGACATTTAACATATCCTGAGGAATTTTTAACTTTTTCAAATGCAGATAGTGAAGTCCAAGACAGACTCACATGTTGTTTTATAGGATTGTGTCCTGGCTACAAGGACTTGCTATTCTACAGGCTGAAAAGAGATACGTATAACTAGGGCAGCAGCCATCATGTAGGAGGATCTTGTTAGAAAGCACTGAGATGTGCATATTTATCTCTGGTTGCTCCAGCTGAGGGAACAAGATTTTTATTATTGTGTGTCACTGGAACTGTTCATAATGATAGCCCAGCTTTTATGATTTCCAAGAAAACCTCATTTATCAGTCACCTTCATATTTGAATGCAGTTCTTTTGCATATCACACCAAAAATGTTCAAGATGTACTTGAAGGTTCAACAGGAGTGGTGTTTCCTTTAACGGTTGGGCTTGATGCTCTTAAAGGTCCTTTCCAACCTAAATGATTCTGTATCAACATGTTATCAAAGTCAGCCGAGAAACCTATGTTTCAAAACTAACTTCAGGCAGAAAGAGATTTAGAGTATATGACATTATTTAATGTCACTACTGGTTTTATCTTCATTTCCTCTCTTTTCCTCTATACACCCACATAGCCATCGAGCCTTCCAACTTTATTCAGTAAGACACAAGTGACAGGAACTGAGGAGTATTGTTCTGCTGGGGAGTATTTATAGGGTGAGAGAGTTGGTTCATCACTCAATTGATAAAAGTCAAAAAAAGTTCTTTGCCACTTGAACATTATTCACATCCTAAAACGTCCAAAACAGTAATTCACTGTGATGCTCGAAAAGTGAATATGGAAGATGGGAAAGAATAAAGCACAGGGAAGAAAGCACCGAAGTTTTCTGCTTTTTAAGTGAATGTAAATGCAAACGTGTATTTCATCCAGGGTCCCAATTCAGCTAAGGAGAGCTGGCAACACTTTACATAGAGTATACAGACATGGTGATCGTACCATCCTTTGTAAGGTAGCCCAAGCACCCAGAGCTGCCCGAAGCTGAACGTTTGTGACACTTTAGTTTAACAGGCTCCTTCCTGCACCCTGAAAGCAGGCTGTACAGGAAAAACACAACTTATTCAGCAACTTAATTGCTTTAAATTATTTGTAATACAGCTGCTGTGATGTCAAGCATTCAGTCATTGCCGGTCTATTACAAGTCGCAACCCACCCAGACTTTCATTCCTACTGCATTGCAGGCTTCGCTTCCATCAGAAGCGCAGCCCCACACGCCTCTCCCCAGCCCCGGCCGGGCGTGGGCTGGCTGCCACGGCGAGCGGGAGCGCGGCGGGGCGAGGGGCACCGCCGGCCTCCCCCGGGCCCGCTCCGCGCCGCCTGCCTGCCTGTGGAAAGCGAGGGCGGGGAGCGCGACTCGGGCCCCTTCCCGAAGCCCCCGGCGCCCGCGGCCTACGCGGGCCCGACCCCAAACGCGAGGCGCCCTGCTAGACCGCGGGGGCTGGGCCGGGCCGTGCCGCTCGCCTCCCGGGAGGGCTGGCAGCCCTGAGGGGAAGCCGAGGGGCCCCCCCCTGCCGCGGGGCGCGAAGCGGCGCTGACCGCCGCGGGTGGGCACGGGAGAGGTCTCTCCGCACAGCCCAGCAGGAAGGAAGGGGAGGCCGGGGGAAGCGCGAAGCCCCGGAGCCCCCCGCCGCCGCCGGCGCCCTCCCCGGGCCCTGCCGCACTGACTCAGCCCTCGCCAGCTCCCGCACCTCCCCCCGCCGCCTCCCGCGCCCTCTCGCGAGACTCGGTCGATGTAGACGCGATGTCCTTTGGGGCACCGGCGGGGGGAGGGCAGAGGGGGAGGGAGGCGAAGCCAGGGGTGCCTTGATTGATAGCGGTCGCCGCCAGTAGGTGAGGGGGACGGCGAGGCCTTAGCCAATAGCTTCGTCCCAAGGCGAGCGGCGAGCCAATGGCGGGGCTGGGGGGGCGGGGCACGCCGCTGGCTGATTGATCCCAGCTTTGGCGTTGTTCAGTTAGAGCGAGAACATTCTAGAGGTGAGTACGGGGCAGCCATTGCCGGGGTCCCATCAGCCGCCCCCTTCTGCCTGAGCTGCGCGCCAGCCGCCGCCTCTCCCTCCCCCCTTCCCTTTTTTCCCCCCTCCTCCTCCTCCCTCTCCTCACAGGTGTCGCCACTAACGATGCCCCTGATTGTGTCTTGCCCGCAGATTGTCCGGCACTGCTGTCCCTGCTGATACCGCCCGCCCCAGGACGCCGGGACCCGGAGGCTGCGGCGTCCGCCTCCGCCTCCCTCTCCGTCCGGATATAAGCGCCCCCACGGCCCTGTTCTCCTCGCACACTCGGCTTCGTCGCAGCCCGGGGCGAGCAGCGTTGGGTTTATGTCTTTATTGGACGAAAACGGTGAGTATTGGCACTGGGCTAGAGCGGGTGGGGACAGCCGGGATTGAGAGGAGGGTTTGGGTCCTGGGAAGGTGGAGGGAGCGGGCGGGCGCCTCAGGCTGGGCTGGAGCGTCGGGTCGTCGGTAAACGGTGGATAGTGGGAGAGGTTTTGTGTATCGAAGTGTCCGGGACCTTGATGGGAGAGGGAGGAGAAAACGACGAAAAAAACCCTAAAAGCCCCAGAGCTTCAGTTGTACCCGTTTGCTGATTTTGGGGTGGGTTTTTTTGTCTTTTTTGTTTTTTCATTTTTTTTTCTTACAATTCCCCACTACCGCCATGCGATGAGACAAGATGGCGGCGGCTGGGGCCGCGCCTCCCCGTGCTGTGGGTGGGCGGGGAGGGGGCGCGGGGAGCTGTGGCGCAGTTACAAACCCGGGGGGGGGAGACACGCCTGCTCCTGAAGGGTTAGCCCCGGGGCGCGGGGGGGGACGGGGGACAAGGAGCGGGGGCGGGGGGCAGCCGGGGAGCGTCCCCCTCTCGCAGTTGGAGAGCGCACGCGTGGCTGGAGGTGATTCCCCCGCCATGTCTTCCAGGGCTGACTCAGTGCTTAATTGCTGCATTTATGACTCATCATAGGCTGAGTGGGGCGGGGAAACGGTGCTTTGAAGCAGGGAGTCTATCTGCCTTCCCGCTCTTTACTCTGTGCATAGCAT